CCCCCCCCCCGCCGCCGCCGCCCCCACGCCTCGCGAGCTCCCCGCAGCCCCCGCGCCCCCCTGCACCCCATCCAACCCACAGCCTGCAGGCCCTTAACAAAAAATTGGCTAAAAACAAAGGCCAAAAATAATTGCCCCTCCGTTTATTTCGAACGGTTTACTCTCCCCTCTCATATCTTCATCCTTCAAGCGCTTTGCCACCTTCACTCAATACCTAAAATCCCTGTCAAAACGGTGATGTTTTCTTGCGGTCAAACTCTTGTAGTCTCTTCCGATCGGCTTGCTCCTCTCCCTCCCCTTTCCTGGTTGGCCGCCGTTCCACTCCCCTTCCTGACACCTTCAACCGAAAACCCTAAACTCGAAACCCTAAGCCCTAAACGACCCTAAACCTAGGTCGGCCATGCGCATCCTGAACGTCCTGGAAGCCAGCATCCCGAGCTTGGAAGGAGACAACTTCGTGCGCATGGCACTTCTCGAGAAGCGACATGGTTGCACAAGACATTTTTTTGCGTTAGTGAAGGTAAACGGTTCAGGGCTTAACGCTTTCTGGTTTTAGGTTTAGTTTCTGGGCGCGGGTTTAGGATTTAGGGTTTGGGGTCTCTGCTTTTTGAACATAAGTTGCAGTGCAAGTGGTAAGGCTGGATATGGAACTGGACAAGTCCAAACAGATGCTCCAACTGCGCTGCAGGGAACTGTTGGGCAGTGATCTGGCCGAGCTGCGGATCCAGAAGACGGAGAGAAAGGCGACCCTTGCTGGGACTATGAAAAGCAACGGATGGAAGATGACGCTCAACAGTCCCTTCAAGTCTTGTGCAAAAGTTGCGAGGCCTTGCTGGACAAGATCGACCGCATCAACCGTCAAAACACCCAAGAAATCTCTGCGCTGCGAAGTCAGGCACCAGGGTTTGTCAAGCGCAGTTCCCCGACATGTCCAAAACGTGCCAATGCCAGTCGGATTTCCGCTAACCCGTTTTATGTAGCTGTGCCGTGGCAGCGCTTCCCAACCACCAGCCTATATAACCTGGAGAACCGTACATGCACAGATGCGTCGTACTCGTGCTCAAAAGTTTGGTGCAGGTGTGGGACATTCCGGAAAGCAGCAAGGCACTCGTTCAGCGCGTCCTGCTGGAAGCACAAGCCTCTCCAAGTGTCTTGGAGATGTTGGTGTGCCCAGAAGTAGGGTCCTGTCCCTCAGAGCAGTTTCAACGGTGTGTCAAGAACACAGAAGCTTTGCAGGTTTAAGGTCCTCACGAGAGGAATTGCTTTTGACATTTTCATGCTCAGCATGGTAGCCTGCAGTGCGCAATGTTACAACAAGGTACAGGTGAGTTGGGACGCGAGGGCCAAGCATGCATGCTCGCCACCATGGAGCAGAAACTGGCCGTGGCCTTGGTTTCAGTGAGTGCATCAAACTGGCTGCGTAGCCTAGCAACGAATTTGGATGTTGTTGGTTTGCCCACCACTGGGTGAGGGCACATAAGTGTCAGGTTGAAAGTTTTGATTCGGATTGGTGCCAGAACAAAAAGGCTGTTCTCATCAATGCAGGGCACCAGTCTGGGGTAGATTCATCAGGTTCCTCAAACCTTGACTTGTGCTTTCTGCAGAGCGGCTCGAGGCATCGAAGGCTTCAGAACTGGGCGGAACAGGTTGCAGAGCAAGCATCAATTCTTCACCGATAATAGGGGGCAAAGCGGGCAAAGCTTTTGGAGCCAGCACCAACTGCTCCAAAACACCCCATTTCGGAAGCCAAGTCCCTTCCTTTCAGGTCCATGTCTTGTCTCCCAACGGCTCCAAAGACGATGGCCAGGTGGGGGCAGCCTGAAGTGTAAAAGTGTGAGAGTTCCGCCACCCTCAAGCTCTAAAGCGCGACACCTGAACCCTGAATTATAGGCTTGCAGACACCCTCGATAAATCGTAAAGCCCGCAAGCTTTGTCTGCGCACCCTCGCTGACCGTGCTCTGAATCCCTCCTTAGGTTCCCAAACAGCCATCCAGGCCTGGAGAGGGCTTCAGTACATGTCACTTCTGAGCGGAAGTTGAGTCTTATCATTAAAGCCCTTAAAACTTATCATCATGCTATGCTTTTGCGGTTTCACAGCTATTACAGGTGGCATCACGGTTCTGACTATGAGCTGAGACCCTCATGCGGACAGGCTGGAGAACTCCTTCGTCCAGGAACGTGTGGCCACGCTCAAGCAGCAAATGGCAGCGCTGACGGAGCAGGTTGCAACCACGAAGCGGCAAATCAGCGCTCTTGTTGCGGCGAAGGAGAGAGGCACTCACAACCACAGAAGCAAGTACCTTCCGAAGGCGTGCTTGCCGCTTGCCTGCTTGGCACTGCAGGAGGAGCTGACGGAGGAGCTCCAGAGCAGACGAGGCTGGGGGGCCGAGACGCAAGACTCAGAGACCCGAAGAGGAAGGGGTGGCTGAGTTCGGTTCCAGGCGAGGTGATGGATCAGCGCTCCTCCTGCCCGAGCTCCTCCGCTTCCTTGGCCTCCGTC